TTGAGTGCTGAGTGTTCAGTGCTGACTGTTCAGTGCTGGATGTTCAGTGCTGAGTGTTCAGTGCTGGATGTTCAGTGCTGAGTGTTCAGGTGCTGGGTGTTCAGTGCTGAGTGTTCAGTGCTGAGTGTTCAGGTGCTGAGTGTTCAGTGCTGAGTGCTCTGTAGTCTAAGAGCTTGAGGTTTCCTCACGGAGGCGGGGTGGTTAGCGCTGAAGCTCTCAAAGGGGGATTCCACATGATCAACTCCGATTTATTACAGTGGTTTGTCAGCAGATTTAGATTACAGAACGTTCTAGATCTAATCTCTAGAGAAACACCCAAGGAGCTCCAATGAAAGGTGGTAAACTGAGACATGCTGGCTGATCATAAACATCCTAGTGACCGTTCTGTTTATTTGCAGAGTAGCTGGTCTCGGACTCCCCACGTCATGTTTATGGTCGTTTTCGCTGTAAAAAATAGCTCCTGGAGGTCGTTATCTCGTGTCCACATCATTTCGGGAACACTCTTTTCCCCTAACCCTCTCCGATGTCCACGCCAAGTCACTGCCCGATGCCCGCACGCTGCCTGCCAGCTGTTAGCGAGTAAATGAAGTGTTTGGTCCTCCAGGGGGGCCGGGCAGTGCCCATCGGCTGCTGTGCTCGGGTCAGGACCGGTGGAGTGGGGAGGAGGGGAGCCCAACAAGTGACAAGCTTGGCAAAGAGAAAGCGTCACCTTCCGGAGGTGCTGTAAGCCATGGGAAAGGAGCATGTGCTCACACATGGGAGAGCATTTGCTGGAACCTCTGAGGAGTCTTTTTAGCTGGGGCCGGAGTGGCCCGGCTGCGTGTCGCCCTGTGCACCGAAAGGTCTCGGGTTCGATTCCCAGTCAGGACAAGGCCCAGGTTGCAGGTTCGATCCCTGGTCGGGGTGCGTACGGGAGGCAGCAATCGCTGTTTCTCTCTCACATTTATGTTTCTCTCCCCCCCCTTCCTCTCTCTCTAAAAGTCAATAAAACATACCCTTAGCTGAGGATTAGAAAAAAATAAAAAGAAAAGTCTGTGTACCCCAAGCTGGATTGGGCTTTATTTAAAACATCAGTACCTGGGACACAGGACTCAGTCACCCGAGCCCTCTGGGGCCCTTACCGGGAGACAGCAGCGTCCTGTGGGGAAGGCGCGGGGTCAGTGGGGTCTGAGGTGGACATGGCCGAGGATTGCATTCACGTCATAAACACCTACTGCGAGAATGCAGGCCGTGAGGTCACTGGCGCCCTCGGGGAGGCTGTGGGAGCGGCAACCAGAAGGGGGGTGCACCTGCTGGGGGCTGGAAGCCAGAGGAGGGAGGGCCCACACCAGCACCCGCGGCTGCCCAGCGGCCGGACCTGGGAATCTTCCAGAATCTGGAGGCTTCCAGTGCGCAGCTCATGTCAGCTTTTTCTCGTCGAAGCACAGCTGTTCACCAAGCCGGCGCTTGGGGACTTTCCTCGGCGGCACCGCAGTGCGATTCCTCGCGGGTTCGGCTCTCATCCCCTCCCCCGCCCCCCTCCCCCCAAGGAGCACAGCTGGTCTCCGTCAGAGACTCAGAGACTCAGAGACTCAGAGACACAGCCCGTTCTGTGCCGAGAAGCGCGGGTCGGGGCCAAAGGGGAGGGAAGTCACGCTCCCCGTAAACTCCTACCGGGAACGGCACCGGCCTGTTCTGCTCACTTCGAGTTCTTTCTAAACAAGTGAAGCACAGCTTCGCTCACACACAGACAAGTCCTGGGCAGCGAGGGCTCCTTCTCCAGGCCAATTCGGCCAAGATGGAAGACGGGGCAGGATGATTTAAAAATAATCCGAGGTTGATGAACGCCCAGAACACGAGCAGTAAATACGATTTACGAAGGCGCCCACCTCTGGAGAAAAATAACAGAATCTGTGTTCTCCCAAATCTGTCTGTTGTCTTACAGCCCGTTTCTTCAAGTACGTCCCCTAGGTTCTATAGACACAGAACACGCAAACATGTTTCTGACATGGATTTTGCCCGGGTCTCTTCGGAACAATATGTGGCCACCACGGCACCCTGGAGGCCTGGCCACAGAGAAGTGTGACGTTTGCTCACTTTTAAGCTCAGTTGCCCACACTGTTTTTGTTGCCCTGACTTTTCACACCTTTTTCCCATAAAATCATTGTAAACATGGAATGTCGAAGTGGAATTGAAGTATCTGACACCTGCCGTAACCGGTTTGGCTCAGTGGATAGAGCATCGGCCTGCGGACTGAAAGGTCCCGGGTTTGATTCTGGTCAAGGGCATGTACCTGGGTTGCGGGCACATCTCCAGTAGGGGGTGTGCAGGAGGCAGCTGATCAATGTTTCTCTCTCATCGATGTTTCTAACTATCTCTCTCCCTTCCTCTCTGTAAAAAATCAATAAAATATATATTTTTTAAAGAAAGTGTCTGACACCATATACAGTCAAGTGCTCACAAAGCCTCACACCCATTAATAAGGAGCGTGTGGTGCTGCAAAGACAGTCTTGTCAACAGTCACTTTTCAGTGTAGTTTTACTGGAGAAAAAGCAACCCGGCTGGGTGTGGAGAGACTGGAGTTGTAGTTTCAGCTCTGGCCCTAAGTGATTACATTTCCCTGGGGCAGCAACATTTCATTTTATTTTATTCTATTCTTTTTTATTCTATTCTTTTTATTCTATTCTTTTTATTTTATTTTATTTTATTTTGAAGCACTTTACTAAAATAAAAATAAATATACAAAGCTGTATAAATTTAATGTATACAACTGGCTGAGTTTGGAGATAAAGCCATCACAGTCTATGCCATAAACATGTCCATCACCTCTAACGGTTTCCTCCTGCCCTGTCAGCTGCATGGCCAAGGACGGTAACTAGACTTCTGCAGGTGATCATTATTTTTCTTTTTAGAGAGAGAGGAAGAGAGAGGGAGAGAGAGAAACGTTGGAAGAGTGTAACATCAATTGGCTGCCTATAGCAGGCTCCCCGACTGGGGATTCAGCCCGCACCCTGGGCTTGGGCCCTGAATGGGAATCGAACCGGCCACCTCAGGGTGCAGGGACAACGCCCTACGCCTTGAGCCACCCCGGCCGGGGGAGGCGATCATTCGGGGGTGTTTACAGACATTGCATGATGATGCTGCACACCTGGAAGGGGCCTCAAATCCGACCTGAGGTGAGCGCCACCATATTCCCGTGTTTAAAGCATGTGATGGGAACTCAGGAAGGCTCACTACAACCCGTAGACCAAACTCAGCAGTTCCGGAAAGCGCCCAAACATAAGCCCGATATCCCACCGTGGCAGCAACGCTCACCCTTCAAGGGCAGCACCTCACCTGCCCCCCAGCCTCTCCCCTGCGTGCCAGCGCCTCTATCGGGACGATGAAAGTGCTCTCGCCATAACCCATTGCTACAGGACGAGGACTTTATGGACAAGGACCTCCCCGGACGTCAACCCAGCGGAGGTCCTTGTTTCTTTCTCTCTCTCTCCCTCTCCCTCTCTCTCTCTCTCTCTCTCTCTCTCTCTCTCTAAGAGGAACAAAAACGATCGCCTCCCTTCCTTTAATGTCGCCAAGACCGTTTTCCTGCTTCACTCTGTCAGGGCCCATCACCAGGTGACCGAGGGCATCTCGGCTGTCAGCGGGTCATTCTGCCGAATCTCCGCGATCCCGCGGGAGCCCAGGGGGTGCTCTCACGACCTTGTGGGAAACTCCACGGCTCCACCCCACCGCGCCTGGCTTACCATTTGCCTTCCTCATTTTCGTATTGCTGCACAGTGTAGCCGAACAGGTCCTCCACGGGGCCGCTGAAGGTCAGCGAATTCTTCACGTCCACGTTGAAGGCCACGCAGAGGCGGAGCACAACTGTGGGAGGGAAAACAGTCAGGTGACGTGGAGCTCTATGAGCGAGAGCAACGGCTCAAAGATGGAGGGATCCAAGAAAGGTCTGTGGGCCCCGCCGGGGGGGGGGCTCAGCGGTTGAGCGCTGACCGAGGAGCCAGGAGGTCAGGGTTCCAGTCCTGGTCAGGGCACATGCCTGGGTCGTGGGCTTGGTCCTCAGTATGGGCCACGCAGGAGGCAGCCAGTCAATGATTCTCTCTCATCATTGATGTTTCTCTCTCTCCCTCTCCCTTCCTCTCTGAAATTAATAAAAAAAAATACATATACGAAAAAGAAAGATCTCTGATATGAACTGTACTACTGACCAGAAATCAACACAATGGCTTTGAAGAGTACGCACATTGACATTCAAGCAAAACCCCACAGTAATTTAGCATCTGATCGCTCCCAGAGGCTGGGATTTTACAATGAGCAGAAACGCGGCTCACGGTGGGCTACTGTGGGGACACGGGTTTCCACAGAGCGTGCCCCCAGGAGCCCGGGGCGCCAGGGAGACGCGCACAGCTCTAGGCTCCCGTCTGACCACACCGCAGGCTCGCATCCAGCTAACCGTCGGGAGAGGAAGCGTTCTCCCAGGGAAGGCCAGGAGGTCCACCCCGAGGCGGCCTCCTGCGCAGGCCCACGGTTCGCTGCTTCCTACTCCCGGCGACGCCGTGGGTGGACGCGCAGCTGGTGCACTGGCTCCTCACAGTGGGGCTGGGTGCCCCACGGCCGCTGTGGAGACATCGCTGGCACATCAAGAGTTTAGGCGACGCCTGAGCACACTCGGCGTTCACCGAGGGGGAGCCTCCCCCAGGCCCTTGTAGTTCAGGTCTCGGAAACCCTTTACGCGTGAGACTCTCTCCACAGGGTTCTGCGTGGTGCTGCCTTCACAGTACCTGTGAAGTGGCCGAGGGTTCCTCTGGGTGGAGCTTGGAATTCTTCTCCGAGACCCTCCACACAGAATCAGCGCACGGCACGGTCAGAGCCGCTGCACCCACATGCCTCTGCTACAAGCACAAAATAGCTGCAGGTGTCCTGGACAATGCCCCCCGCCCCACCCCGGCCACCCACTGCAAACCCTCCACAAAGGAAGTCTAGGTCCAGGCTCTAGGCCAGGGATGGCGAACCTTCTGAGCTCGGCGTGTCAGCATTCTGAAAAACCCTAACTTAACTCCGGTGCCGTGTCACATATAGAAATTTTTTGATATTTGCAACCATAGTAAAAGAAAGACTTCTATTTTTGATATTTATTTTATATATTTAAATGCCATTTAACAAAGAAAAATCAACCAGAAAAATGAGTTCATGTGTCACCTCTGACACACGAGTCATAGGTTCGCCATCACTGCTCTAGTTCATTCTATGTTCTAATTCATCATCTTTAAATCCTGGTAACGATACCAGGTGTTTCTTTGGTACATAGGATTTTGTTCTTAAAGGAAGAAAATGATGTGTATCTATTTCTGAGAAAACAGATAAGTATGTGTACAGGCTTATAGTCTTCCCTGGTCTCCCCACCCGAAAATCATCTTTCAATGACTAACCCTCCCCTTTGATTTTAGAAAGCCTCTCACAGAGATAATTAGCAAACACTATTTACATTTTGTTTCCTAGATTGGAAAAGCCTTTAATTTATTTTTAATTTTTGCATTTATTTTTTGAGCGCAGTTGATGTACACTATTATATCCGCTTCAGGTGGACGCCATGTGATCAGACATCGCTCTAACTTACGGAGTGATCACCTGACACCCAGTACCCACCTGGCACCACACCTAATTACCACCCCATGAGTGACTGTGCTCCGGCTGCCGGTCCGCACACCCCGGGACTATTCTTAGAACTGCCAGTCTGCACTTCCTAACCCAGTAACTGTTCTCACCCGCTCCCACCGCCCTCCCATCTGGTGACCATCCATCCATGTGTTCTCTGCAGCTACGACGGAAAAGTCTTACAGGCAGGGGTTCGCTGACTCATCTTTCTGCTTCCCTCTCACAACAGCCCAGCTCCTGGCACACAGAGGCGCGGGGACACCCTCGGGGCGTGAATGCTGGCGCCCCGAAGGGGGACGGGGCCAGGGAACCGCGAGGGACCTGGGAGCCGCCTCATCTTGCTTCGGAAGGTTTGGGTCTTTGAGGGGAGATGGGACTTGGCCGCGAGGGGAAAGCAGGTCCCCAGGGTCTGGGAGGGTCTCTGCAAGTAAGAAGACGGAGCACAAGACAAGTGTGGTAGTGAGGCCTCGGGGCACTTGGCTGCAGGGGAGGGAGGCGGGTGCAGATGGGTGGGCAGGAGACAGGCCCAGGTATGTACATTTCCTGCCCCTTTCCCACGGGATGGCCAGCAGCCGTGCGGGGTTTTCTGCCTGCGAACTTCATGTAAATAACGGCACTGAGCTGGCCACTCAGTGTGGGTGGGGCAGGACGGCGGTCATACTCTCTGTAGCGAGCTGGACTCGGAGGGCGGGGTGTGTCCAGGCCCAGCTGTGCCGGTGGCAGACAGGACGTCAGCAGTGGGCATCTGAGCCCCATCACAGACTTCCTGTGACTCAGTGCTGTTGCACTAGTCAACATAACACAACCCAGGTCAACGGAAGCCTCCACGGGGCCAGGAGGCTTGAGTCATCTGTGGCCTCGCAGTGTGGGAGGCTGGGACCGGCAGGAAGAGCTGAATGAGGGGGCAAAGCCTGGGCATCACCAGGGGGCAGCAACTCGCTGGTGCAGGGAGCGCCTCCCTCCGCCCCATCCTCCGAGTCGCCAGAAAAGTCACTGTGCCTGTCTGATGGCTCCCTTCTCGGCGACGAAGCCCGTCTCTCCCAGGGTGGTCCCCAATTCTGACCTAGTGACATCCAGATTGGCGCGCCGAATAGCCAATGAATCTCGAAGAGGTGAAACCCGAAGCCCGAGGCAAGAGGGTGTCGACTACATGATGATGAGGGATACACATTAAAATGGGATTGATTTCAACAACTTCCTGCACGCTTATCCTATCCTATATAAAAAAGGGTAGTATGCAAATTGTTCCCTCCACCGGGAGTTAGTCCAGGAGTTTGACCAGGGGCAGAAAGGTCAAACTGGCAGCCACTAGGGGCCCTGACAGTGCACGAACTTTGTGCACTGCACCTCTAGTCCAGAAATAAAAAGGTAAGTCATGAAATTAACATATTTATTATTTTGTATAGAGTGAAGTGATGCTACGATACTAAGATTAGAAGTAGTAGTTGTGTTATTGTTAATTAATGGTTTCAGAGCAAATTTCTTGGTAGTGTAGAAAGAGGGTGATCTTTAGAGGTGCATGAACCTGGGCTTAAACCTTGCCCTCTCGTTGATTTATTCAGTTATATTTACTCAACTGCTTCTTTCATCAGGCCTGTACCGTGGGCTGAATACCTGCCAGATCCTACAGATGAAACGTTACAACAGGCGGTGCTCCTGTTTGCGGAGCTCCTGCAGCCTCCCCGGGAAAACCCCGCGAATGACTGAGCCGCCAGGAGCCTCCGCTCATCCTATTTGCCACGAGCTTACAGACCCCTTGCGGGTCCTGGCTGCCACGAGCAGCACAAATGCTGCATCGCCCACAGAGCATGCCCAGCACATGCGCTAACAGGTTCCAGAGGCAAATCCAAGGAGCCAACATACTAGGCGGCCGTGAGCTTTATTGTGGAAGAGGATTCCTCCATCTGAAGACCATTCGGATCTCAACAAGTGACACAGAAGTGTGACACCGCGGGTTTGTGACTCATTTCCACAGCACACGTCCTGCTCCTGCAGCAGCTGCGGCGACGTGACGAAGAAGGTCCAGGTGCATGAAGAAGTTGTGAGGTGGGGGCCAGTTCTTGCAGCCACATGCCCTGGAGCCCCACCTCAAGCCTCGAGAGTGATGTGTGTGTACGATACCATCTCAGTCAGGGGTGGGCAACCCCTGGCATGCGTGCCAAACATGGCACGCCAATAACTTTTGCTGGCACGTGAAACCCTCTCTTATAACCTTCCATTTACAATCTTTTTCTTAATATCGACTTTTTTATTTTTCAGATAAGTTCAGTGTAGGTGCATCTTCAATAAATAAATAATTTTACATAACAAGTTATCTTAAAGACCATAGACATGGATGGACGAGAGAGGGGAAGAGCAATTTCTATGCCTCTGCCTTAACTCTCCCTGCCTTCCTAGGTCCGACCATGTTTTGGTTTCATCCACATGCGCTTGTGAATCTTTGTTCTCAGTGATGAATTTTGTTAAGTCTCGTAATAGGAGTAGCCAGACAGATGAAAGTAGTAGCTCGTGCATATCTCTGAAGGTCACGAAATAGAAGCCTGATGTAAAATCTCTGTCATCAGTGATGCAGCAGCAAAAGTCCCACTGATAATGTCAAACGGAGTCATAAAGTTTTCTGTCAGACTATCAGTGTACCTGTATACATTAAAAATAAATGTATTCTTCATCATCATAGACTGTGTTTTTATTGCTTGAGTGAATGTTATTATTTCTTCAGGGTTCTTCACATAAACCTTAAGAGATACCAAGTAGGTGTAACATGTTCTCAAAAAATTAGGGTTGGCACGCTGAAGGATTCTGAGTCAGAGATTTTGCTGGTTTTGGCACGCACTCACAAAAAGGTTGCCCACCCCTGATCTCAGTCCTCGGGTCACAGCGAGTCAGGCTTCTCCCCGTCCAGGGACAATCTAAAGATCTAACGTCTGGTCCGAGGACAGGATGCCCGCCTGCAGTGGCTCTTCTAGACTCTTTCTATATCCAGGCCACACTAACTGGGCCACTGTCCTCAGCCCCCTGAGAATCAGACAGCGCACCTGGGCAGCAAGCCCGAGGTGGGAGCAGCAGGGCCCGTGTCCCCAGAGCTGGGGGAGTCCACCCCCGGCAGCTCGGAGGGAGACGAACGCCCCACATCACACGTGTACACTGTCATGCTGTTGCGATGCATCAGCCATTCCAGACTTGATGTAAGAAAAAGTCTGGCTCCGTCCCTCTCACCATTCAATGTTCTTGCCTCCACCTGCAAGTCCAGGAAAACCAACAGTAACTCCAAGTTTATTATGTGTTTTCCCCCAGAATTTAGATGAAATATTTTTAACTCGGAGGCACTCGGGGGAGTTGGAAGAAACACATTTTGATGATGAAAGTTGGTGCACGCTGGAAGCTCTTCTTCTCACCTTGTAATAGCAAGGAAACCTCTTCAGAGTGGCAATGCTGTGCACCTGAAATCTTAAATTAGCTGAGTGATTCTTAATGTTTGCTTTAAAAGACAAAATCTGATCAAACGTGTAACGGAATCTGTCCCAAAACACGGCAGTACGGCAGCATTCCTGTTGACTTGGGTTCTGGGATGATTATTTTACCAGAAGTGCCAGCTGGAGACGGAGGAGCCAAAGACTGCGAGGGGAAGACCCAGGAAATAAACACAGAAGGAAGGGGAGGCCGTCGAGGGCCTGGAGCAGAGAGCACACAGGCAGCACCCGTGTTTGGAAATGACACCATCGTCTCCAATGCAGGAATTTACATTTTCTGGGAAAAGCACCCCATCCAGGGCAGCGTCTCCTTGGAACAATTGGCGCTTCCCGGGGCAGTTACGTAAGGAGAAGTCTGGCTCCATCCACCTCGCCTTGCAGAGCCCTTTCATCTGGGATGACGTCATGTGTCAGCAAGCTATCTGCCTCCACCAGCAGGTCCTGAGCGGCCAACCCAAATAAACACCTCGGGTGCCAGCGTCCCCAGCCCGAGGCGCGAGGGAGCCCAGTTCTGAGTATTAGTGAGAAAGTCCTGGGGCCCAGCTCTCACAAGGGGCGACTGAAGTTCCCAGCGAGTGTGCCCATGTGTGTGCCTGGGATGATTGTGAGAGCTGGGCCCCAGCTGCCGGGGGGGGGCGGGGGGGTGTGGACGAGGAGCCTCATTCTTGGCACACAGTAGGTGTTGAATACAAGGCTGCTCATGGGCCGGATGGAGTAAGCAGGGGAATGAAGGTCTCCAGTGTGAAGGCCACTCTGGCTATAAGAACGGCCCCGTGGCTGGAGCTGCCCAGGATGCTAACGCCGAAGGAGCGTTCCCCGAACATCCTTCCTGAAAACCCCCTGTAAGTGCTTCTGCATCAGCGGGTCCTGCCAGCGTTTCTCTTCTTTTGTGGCGTCTATAGACATCCGCTCTTTCCCACATCCTCCCCCACCCCCCACCCCGGGGGTCTCTGCAGGCCCTGTTGCTCTCTCGGACCCCCTCTCCTGAGGTTCCTGGTCTCAGAGCCCAGCGCTGCTCCTCCTCTGTCCCCCGCCCCCCACTCCGTGTTTTACAGGATGAAACAGCTGAGAACCGCGGGGGCCCCGGGATCCCACCGCAGGACACATGCCTGTGTGTTTGTGCAGCAACAGGAGCGCAGAGCAGCTCCCAGCCGCTGGCATCCCCGCAGGCGGTGGGGCGGCATCTGAAGGCGAGCGGCACTTCCCCCGGAGCTGGCTTGCAGCCGACCCCAGGGTTTCCCGGACACACGGACACAGGGTCTGTGGTGGGTAAGGATCTCATGAAAGCTGTATTGTTGTTTTAATTTTATTTCTTTAAAAATATTTTTTATTGATTTCAGAGAGGAAGGGAGAGGGAGGGAGAGATGGAAACATCAATGATGAGAGAATCATTGACCAGCTGCCTCCAGCACGCCCCCTACTGGGGATGGAGCCTACAACCCAGGCATGCACCCTGACCAGGAATCTAACAAGGACCTCCTGGTTCATAGCTCGATGCTCAACCACTGAGCCATGCTGGCCGGGCAAAAGCTGTATTGTTGTTAATAAAAATTTTTCCAGGAGGCTTATGTATTTACATGTAATCTCTGCTCAGCGAGACAAGAAGACACTGACCGTGTTAGGGTTATTCCGTTAGCACGCACGCAGGGGCCTCAGAGGCCAGGAGATCAAAGAGAGAGCCGGCAGGCAATGGCAATAGGTCATTCCAATCTACCCATCGGTTCACTGGCAAGTTCCCATTCCGCGCACTAGGAGATCCCACTACTGACTCTCTCACACCGTTCAGTAAACAATGTTCCCGTGTGGCTGGAGCGTCTGCATGTGAAGGCCACACACGTGTCCACGTGCAGGAGACGCAGCTGCTACCTGACGCTCCCACGGCCCCGGGGGGACGATCACTTTCCCTGCCCCCTTTCGGTTTGTTGGTGGGTGTCCATGTTGAGTGCGTCCGATGAGAGCGAGGGAGATGGAGAGCTTTCCTATGGCTGTGTGTGCCTCTGCTCTCCGAGAAAAGACCTGCTGTGCACACGGAAGACATAACCTCAGGACGGGCACCGGCTACTGCCTCCTCTATGTCACTGAGAAGAAATTATATGTAAATGTGTAAGTTAACTGACAAGGCTGTTACTAAAGGCAAAACTGGTTATTCAGGTCCTTTAATGGTAAGACATCAACAGACAGAGTGCACGTGGCAGCTGGCTGGGGTTTCCCTCTGAGATGGAACCACTGGCATCTCCAGAACAGGAGGAAAGGGCTGTCCAGTGGTTCTCCACCTTCTGGCCCTTTAAATACAGTTCCTCATGTGACCCAACCATAACATTATTTCCGTGGCTACTTCATCACTGTAATGTTGCTACTGTGATGAACCATCATGTAAATATCTGATATGCAGGGTGGTCTTAGACGACCCCTGTGAGAAGGTCATTCGACCGCTAAAGGGGTCGCGACCCACAGGTTGAGAACCTCTGGTCTAGTACCTACTGTGCAAATAGTACAAAAGGAGTCCTTAGCCATTCTCATTGTAAAAGTTAGAGTTAAAATTGTTTACATGAAATCACACTTAGGTGTAACAAAAAATAAAATGGAAAATTTAAAAAAATCATGAAAATTCCAAATACGTATTTTATTTGAAACTAGAGGCCCAGCGCATGAAATTTGTGCACTTGGAGGGGGGTCTCTCAGCCCGGATTGCGAGAGGGCGCAGGCCAGGCCAGGGACCCCACCGGTGTATGGCAGCACTAAGGATGTCTGACTGCAGCTTAGGCCTGTTCCCCGCTGGCAAGTGGACATACCCCAAGGGCTGCTGGCTGCCAGAGGGATGTCTGACTACCAGCTTGGGCCCGATCCCACAGGGAGCAGGCCTAGGCCAGCAGGTGGACATCCTCCGAGGGTCCCAGACTGAAAGAGGGCATAGGCCGGGCTGAGGGACCTCCCAAGTGCACCGGGCCTCTAGTCTATATAATAAAAGCCTAAGAGACCCTTATGGCAGAATGACTGATCACTATGATGCACACTGACCACCAGGGGGCAGAAGCTCAATGCAGGAGCTGCCTCCTCATGGTCAGTAAACTCTCACGGGGGGAGCGCTGCTCAGTCAGAAGCTGGGCTCACGGCTAGCAAGTGCAGCGGCAGTGGTGGGAGCCTCTCCTGCCTCTGCAGCAGCGCTAAGGATGTACAACTGATGGCTTAGGCCCACTCCCAGACTACAAGAGGGTGCAGGCTGGGTGGATGTCCAACTGATGGCTTAGGCCTGCTCCCAGACTACAATAGGGCGCAGACTGGGCCAGGGACCCCCCTGAGTGCATGAATTTCATGCACCGTGCCTCTAGTAAAATATATGAGACATTCCTCACTTAGTGAAATTCCAAAAAGTGAAAAATATCTGTCAACACATGGAATTTCATGCACCGTGCCTCTAGTAAAATATATTAGACATTCCTCACTTGGTGAAATTCGAAAAAGTGAAAAAAATATCTGTTAAATTAGGTTGTGATTACTCAGATTGAAATGGTTTCCGTCATTTTGAGTCAGCTACAGTATTTTTTTCAAAGAGGGATGTGCCTAGGCATTTGTTAATGTTATGATCTGTAGGCAAGGGCTTAGAAAGACAATCCTATATAATAAAAGGCTAATATGCGTATCGACAGAACGGCAGAACAACCGGTTGCTATGATGCACCCTGACCACCAGGGGGCAGACGCTCAACACAGGAGCTGCCCCCTGGTGCTCAGTGCGCTCCCACAGGGGGAACACCACTCAGTCAGAAGCTGGACTCATGGCTGGCGAGCGCAGCAGCAGTGTCCGGAGCCTCTCCTGCCTTCACGGCAGCACTATGGATGTCCGACTGATGGCTTAGGCCTGTATGGGGAGCAGGCCTATGCCGTCGTCAGACATCCGCCAAGGGTTCCCGGACTGTGAGAGGGCGCAGGCCGGGCTGAGGGACCCCTGCCACCCTGAGTGCACCAGACCCCTAGTCAACCCATAAGATGAAGGCCACCTACATTTTATTTTGCCATGGGCCCTAAAGAGATATTTGAGTCACTGGGCCTTGATCTCTCTCTTTTTTTATTTTCATTTGCCAGATTGCTCAGAAGCCGGAGGCAAAGTATACAGACGTACAACATTCCTTTCTGATGGGATACGGTTATCTAAATACTTTCCGGTTTAACAAACAAGTGGTCCATCATTAACATTAGAACCGTAAGGGCTTCACGGAGCTTACAAAGTTAAATACTGCGCAAACCCCAACCGAAAACAAAACCTATAACAAATCTGTGCATCCTAGAGTTACCCCCTGGCTTTAACTGGCCATTTCAAATTCCAGACACTAAGAGATGCCATTATTGATTCCCCTAGACCCGTGGTCGGCAGACTGCGGCTCGCGAGCCACATGCGGCTCTTTGGCCCCTTGAGTGTGGCTCTTCCTAAGCCTTAGGAGTGCCCTAATGAAGTTAATAACAATGTACCTACCTATATGGTTTAAGTTTAAAAAATTTGGCTCTCAAAAGAAATTTCAATCGTTGTACTGTTGATATTTGGCTCTGTTGACTGAGTTTGCCGACCACTGCTCTATACCATTCGTCAGGCTAATTTTTCTGGATGGCTTAGTACCGCCCCTAATAATACACCACCACTTGAGAATAACTTTTTATAACTACTTCTCCCTTCCTAGCTACTGATG